TTATATAATCACGATATTAACAAATTTTAAATGTTGAATGAGGTTAAAAAATAATCTTACCTCACTTTCTAACAACTATACTAGAAATGTAATTTCATATGAATAAGATAAGATGATATTTGAGAGTGTAATAACAATTATTTTTTAAAATATTTTTTTTTAATATAAAAAATAATCTAAAAATATAAAAAATATATTAATTTAAAATAAAAAAATAAAAAATTTAAATTTTTTAAAAAACACTTCTAAAATGAAAAACCAAGCAAAAGCTAAGTGAATATGTTACTTATTTCTCATTAAAAAAATAAAAAAAATGTTGATCTATTTAGAATTTTCAAAATTCAAAGATGTTAATCATTCTCTGTAACTTCACGTAAGGTAAAAATTTTATTTATTTTTATTTTTAAGTTGATAGTGAAAAGATTAATTGATAAGTCATTTTTTACAAGTGTGTGTAAGGAATACCGTACAAGACCAGACAAAGAACGGGTAGAGATTAGCAAATATTTCAAAGGTTGAAACTTTTGCTGTTTCAATTTGCTTTTCATATTTTTATTATTAATAATTTTTAAATGTTTTTAAATTATTTTAATATATAAATTTAAAAAAATAAAAAAATAATTATTTCAATATATTTCCATATAAAAAACATTTTAAATAGCAACCACAATTACTCTTCCAAACATTTTTAATTTTTGTTCTCACTATGCTTTTAAAATAATTAAATTTTTTTACTTTAAATAATTTTTAAAAAATATATATATTTTTTATTTTTATCTATTTCTAAACAAATATCTTTTTTAAAAAATAACCACCATCATAATATAAAACACTATCAAATACATTTTATTTTTATTTTTGAAGTTGTGTTTGTGTACATTTTAAAAATAAATTTTACTTAAAAAATATTAAATAAAATATTAAATTAATATTTTTTAATTATCATGTGTTATTATCCAAAATTTTAAAAATCTAAAATAAATATCTTAATATATTTTTTAATATAAAAAACATTATTCATCACACTAAACACATTTAATTTATTTATATGCTGGGGAATGATTCGCAATTATCCAAAAAAAAGAAAAGGAGGCAGCATCCTCGATAACTCAGCTCTTACAGACCTCTCTTGACTAGTTTGTTCCAAATCAAACCATCTTTATTCTCTGAGTTGTTGTTTTCTCTGGTTTATATATATATATATATATATATATATATATGCTTTCTCTTAGTTGAAACTAAAAGCCTGCAGGAGTTATTGCTCTGTAACCCTTTCCGTTTCTGCCAAAATAAATTCTAATATCATCAGAGGACTTGATCATCCGTTTCAACGTTCTCAATCCCAGCCTGCAAGCGGCTTCATGCGTGCATGCCACCTCCGTCCATATCCGTCACTCCTTATCTGACACCTGCACCGTCGGCAGCCTTGCCACCTGCATGCGAGGACACCTATTTTAATGACCGAAAACAATCCAAAGCCTTTGGAAATCCTCCCGTCCAAGGTAAGGTCTTGCATGCCAAAGCATCCATTATCAGTGTTCTTTGAATTTGTAATTTCTTGAGGTATATTTTAGACATTTTTTAAATAGTTGCCTTGTTCTCTGGGTTGGGGTTATTTGAACAAACTTGGAGAAAAGGGTTTAATTGAGTAAATTCAAAGAACACTGGGGTTACTTAAGCAAATTAACTAAAGAAAAATAATCGATATGACTATTTTGACAGCTGTGAATCAAGAAAATTAAACCGTGGCCGTATATTCCTATTCACATCATGATGCTAGCTAGGTTCAGGGTAGGGTGATTTGTGCTGTGGTGACTTTATTCACCCAGTTACCTCTTTTACTTTTCCCCTGTTCACTTTACAATCTTGAGCATTGATTGTGTACAAATATTTCTTAATTCTTAATTCTTAAAAAATCATAAATAAATAAAGAAGAGAGAGAAATTTATTTTCATTGGAATTCAAACTTATATTCAATTTGAGTGTGTGATCGTGGAGCGTAATATCGAACATCTTGGCGAGGGATTGTTTGGAGTGGTGATTGCACCATCTTTTCGTGAATTTTTAAGATTTGTTTTGCTTTAAATTATTTTTTTATTTTTTTATAATTTTAATATATTAATATTTAAAATAAAAATATTAAAATCTCATTATCTTTATCTTATCAATTTGATAAAAATTAAATATATAATAATGTGTTATATGATAATATCTATCTATATAATTTTAAAGTTCAGAAAATTTTTACTTAAAAAAATATATTAAATAATATAAATTATATTTTAAAATATCACCACATAACTTAAAATTTTAAATTAAATTAATTTTTTAACATTAACAAAATAAAACAGGAGTTCCAATGCTCCTTCTCAACAGTACAGACATGCAAATGAAACATGGTCATTAACTTTCTTGGTTAACCATGCGGATCTGTAAGGAGCAGGATGATTCAACCTAACACATGCAGCGTCATTTCCCAGATTTGTACACTGCACAGATTAATATTATGGCAATATAGAGCAATGGCTACTTCTTCCGCTTTGGACTTGAATCGATCCCGCTGTGGGATATATCCCAAAACCGTCGTTGCAATGAATAGAGCACTGTGAAATAGCCTGCTTGTGTTATCGCTAATCCAGTAGCTTTTAGAAGGGCATGCATAGCCAATTATAGGCAGCACTACAGCTTTGAGCTCCCTTGCGGCTGCTGTGCTTCGGAGAAGAATTAGGAAAATTGGAAGCAACTCTTACTGCAGAAGGCTGCTTAGCTGCATCAGAAGATATCTTTATACTATCGTGAAGAGGTATTTCAGTAGTTTGAAAGAAATTCGTATCATCAGGCACTAAAAACACTGGGTGGAGATGCAGAACCGTAAATAAAAAGGATCAGATTGATCCACTTTGATGTCAAAAGTATGTTTATTGTACAACATGAGCTTCAAATCCTCACGCAAGTCCTCCATCAAAACGACAAGACATCGCCTACTCAACAGATGCAGAGACAAACAATATTATCTTTATTGCGTGTTTCACCAGCAAAACCCCAAAGGGTGGTCTCGCGGCTAATCATCTAGCGGTTTACTGCCCCCGTGACTCAAGTTCGATCACAGCCATTTAGTTTGGTGGGCGGAAGATAATTGTAACCAGAAATAAAAAGGGTAAATTGTAGAAGCATATATCAAGAAAAACCAATCACGAGCAGCAAAAACAGATTAAGAACGTTTACACAGCATGTATAGAATTCCGTCTTCTTGAAGGATGAAGAAAACAATCAGAGGTTATTCTTGTTCCTTGATTGGATTGCAGCTTGAGACTTTTTGCTGATTAAAACAAGAGGACGCCAATGCTTGATGCCAACTTGCTCATGGATATTATAATGAGAAGCAGACAAAATATCACACCTTATAATAATAATAATATTCAGAAAATTATTGGTGATTAGTACGGTTTGTATATATGAACCATTCAATATGTTTTTTATGTTTAAAAATTATATATATATATCAACATAGTAAAAATATTAGATTGGTACAAATTGAGTGAACTCTTATCTCACATCTAAGCCGACTAATACTATATTGGATTTTTATTTAAATTTTGTTTTATTTAGATAAATTAAACAAAAATATGATCTAAGTGAAATTAATATGATGGATAAAATTATTATTTTTAATTGAAATTGAAATTTTATCTAATTTTTTTTATTTTAAATAAAAATATAATGTAATTGAAATTGGTATGACGGGTAAAATTATCATCTCTAAATTATAAGTTAGGGATTCCATCATTGGGTATACGATTGGTTGTAATACCATGTTTAATTTTTTAATCGCTTAATTGCTCACTAACTTATTAACATTAGATTCTTAAATTACACATTTAATCTCTCACTAACTTATTAACATTAGATTCTTAAATTACACAAATACATCTTCTTTCATCGATTACATAATTAATTTATGAGTTATCAATTTCAAAGTCACATTCAAGAGAGAGTTATAGATACATATGCTTTTTGTAATCTCTTCTTAACTATGTTATTTAACAATACAGAATGCATAAGATAGTCTGATTTTGATGATTAATTTGTAAATAAGCAAATATTTTGTCATATGAATTTATTGAAATACTATGCTAATTAATATGATTGCTTTTATTTAAATGGGAACGGTAATAAATCTCGATTTCATGTTATATTCTACCCTTGAATGGTTGAGGTTGTAGCAAAATAAAACTTGAACTATTAATTTAATTTATTATATGCTAAAACTATTATTTATTAGGTAAATTAAGGTATATTGATAAATTTCAATCGTTCAGTCAAACTTTGACTGTTAAATACAATTCAACTTATAGGCTGGCTTATAAAAAAGAACTTACTTTTGCCGTTTGTTAACTAAGGTACTATTTATGATTGCAATAAGAATGATTGTAATTTAAAATATTTTTTATTTTTTAAAAATTATTTTTATATTTTTATATTAAAATAATTTTAAAATATAAATAAAATTATTTGTAACTGAAAAAATAAAAAATCTTAAGAACGTAGTATCGGAGCCTAAAGCACCGTGTAAAGTGGAGCCAAGCTTTCTGTAAAATCTAAATGGCTGGAGACTGATTATTATTATTATTATTCAAGTTACTATTAAAACAATAAAAACAGTTAATTTTTTTATTTTTCATTAATTTTAGTTAATTACAAATTCAAATCATACCATCTTCCGGGAAAAAAAATCATAGTACATAAATTCTTGAAATAAATACAAATGACTGTGGAACAAATTAATCTCTCTCCTCGCTTTTTCTAATTTTTAGCTAATCTTCAATTAAAATCGTAATATATTTCAAAAAACACACTTTATTTATATTCTATTATTTTCATGTTGCCGTTTTTATTGGATTCCATTTAATTTTTTCATTAAATATTTTATTAGATTTCACAAATATCAAATTCTTTATACTTGACAAATAACATTTACCACGCCACTCACCAGCCAAGGAAGATAAAAATACATAGAATAGCAACATCAATAAGAGTTAAGGAATGTTCTAAGCATGAGATTCACCATAGGTACAAGAACCCTGCAAGCATTGACCCAAAAACCGTCTTGAAGCTTCCTACCTCTCCTGCGTCTCTGTTCTTTTATCTCTTCGCTGTAGATCATACTACTCATCTTGCTCGCTCTCCTTCTCAAGGATGGCCCAGGCCACCAGCAATCCAGGCCGGTCGTCGTCAGTTTCAAATCCTCCCACTGCATTCCCATGTTCCTTACAGTCTCACAAGCGGGGATTATTGACTTTGTGGGATCCATGAGATAGCCATTTCTTTAAGTTCTTATGGAGATATGGTGGTGCTGGTCCATTCGTTCTTTGAAAACGACTCCTGGCTCGTTGTCTGGGTGACGGTGACAACGGCGTCTGATTTGATCATTTGGAAAGGAAAAGATTGCACATGGTGGTGGGGACTCCCCTTCAACTCCTTTGCTTGGCTCACAGGATTAGAGCGAGCATCTCCAATCAATGTGTGCTATTAGAATATCTTCCTTTGAATGCAAAGTGTGTGGAGATCCTTTCTTGTGAGTGCTCTTCCTTGCTTGCAAAACTAGTACATTTCACTATATCAGAAAAAAATAATCAATTTGAATCTATTCGATTAATATTTAAATGGTTGTGTTACTAGAAATAGCATAAACCTTACAAAAATTTAAAAGGTTGCTCTATTACTAGTTATGCAAATATCAAAAAAAAAATTAATTTCTTGTTACGGATAATAAATGTTATTGATCATGCTATTTTTAATAGCATAATTATCTAAACTATGATATTTTTTGTAACTTTTTTCAACCATGCTGATTAAAAGAAAAAAATATCTGCTGAAGTTATTTTTCTTTTAAAAAAAGAAAACTATTTTCTTGGAATAAAATCATTAGCTTGACAAGGGCCTCTTAATTTGTGCCTTCCAAATAATTTTTTTTTTAAATTATCACTTCTTTAATATTGTATATGTTTTCCATTTAATATGTTTATAAGCTGCCATCGCCAATGGGAAGGGACACTCTCGCAGCTCTCCCCAAAGTTAATCCTCTTCCATTCCTGCGTCAGAGCGGTATGTTTTTTATTTAAAATATTAGACCTGAAAACATTAAAAAGAAATATAGTTTAAAGTAAAAATATTAAAATATATATATTTAAAATATGTTTTTTTATTTAAACTGTGGATTATTACTCCATGGTTGTATCTGGTCAGTTAGCTATGGACCCATGCATGATTCACTATCACCATTGTCAGTCTATCACAAATCACAAAGTGGAAGAAAACCATTTATAGAAGAAAACAAGGGATTAAATATCATATCACACTAGCTTGCGGCAGCTTCTAAAATATGAAGTCGGAAAGATAATGATGTTGAAATTTGAAGATGATGATTACCTGCTCAGAGCACTAACTAAGCACGTAAAATGGGGATTTGACCATCTTCAATTCAGGGAAATGACTAAATTCTCTGTATTGCTAGGAAAATCGACATTGGAGGAGCCAAATGTTCAATAATCATAAATGAAAGATTATTTAATGGAGTTGCAAAATGAAGAGTGCTGTCTTCCAGGAATATATTATCAGAATTAAAATTTCAAAAGTGATTTTTAACTTAAAAGGATATGAAAATGTTTATTTATTTATTTTTTATATTATTACATTGGGAATGATCATGAGATGGTGTGAGAATTGAAAAAACAAAAAAAACGCCCAAGAACTTACACTTACACGCACCATATGGATTCCTCCATTAAAATGGTTTTTTGTATCTTGGATGTTGATACCTTTAAGCTCCTCGTGTTCAACCTGCAATTCAAAATGATCGACAGAATGATTAGAAAACCAAGTGAAAATCAATTACAAATCAGATAGAACAAAAAGAGAGTAAAGTATTGAAAACAGACACGAACCATGGCACGCCAAAAATAGAACAGAGAACGAAACTGTTCGCAACGGGAACTATGAAAAGCGAACAAGGGAAGACGATACAGATCGATAACGCAGCAACACATAAATGACGGGTGATGGGCACGTTAATACGAAGCCACGAGAAAAATAATGGATAAGGAGGAGAGCACGGCACCCAACGCGACCAGGAAGGATCTTGCAAACAACATAAGGCATCTACTGGACGTGAATGGGCAATGGAATTGGCAAGGAACGAAAGAAATTAAGAGCTGTTATGCACGGTAGTGCTGGAAAAGATGATCCCAAACCCACCATCACAAAAAGCTTTTGAACCCAAATGAAAACATTGGACTGGAAATTCATTCATTTTCAGGACCAAAAAAAGCGAATCCCTTCTTAACGATTTACAGTCACCAAATACATATATCTCATGATCATATTATCTATTGCAAGCTCCAGTATTCCCCTTTCCATTTCTCTTTTTCTTTAGTTATATTATACGTTGTTCTTCCCATTTATATATGCCAAATATGTCCGGTCTCAGTTCACTTGAGTCTGCAGTTATTGCCAATGATTCCCGTTGTGAACAAGGTAGATATGGCCAGGATTCCCATGAGCATGGTAACCATATTGATACTGAGGAGGCGGAGGAGTATTCTTCTTTGAAGAAAACGCTACTGGCTTCGACATCTGATGATAGTAGCACCTTGGAGTGGTAGAAGTTGAAGCAATGGTGGCACCACCATAGCTATTAGAGGGTGGAGAGGAGGAGGAGGAGGAGGAGGAGGAGGAGGATGATTTGGAAGAGGAAGAATATATTTTTTTCGGGAGCGAAAGGAAAGCCCTGATCTTTAAGGATGCAGTCGGTGTTGCTGCTCCTGCTCGATCGTATTCCTCGATGAGATTTACTAGATCCTCATCCGAGGTGATCGATACCAGAGCGTCTAGATCTTCTTTTGGCAACTGAAAACGGAGACTCACTGATGTGCCACACAACTCTCCAAGCTTCAACAATAACTCTGTATGCCACACATGCAAAAATATTCCACCCCATATCACTTACTCCATCATATATCCACACACATACATAACAAAAGCATAACATTTGATACAGGTAAAGCTAAAAAAATGAATTACCAAAAGAAAAGGAAAGGGGAGATGGTGGAAATTCATATAGAAAACACTGACCAGCAAAGGAGATGGAACGGTCGACGCCGATGACACGGGTCTCGCCACCTTGATAACGGAGTTTACCATCCGGAAAACGGGGGATGATCTTGCCACCATAACTGCAGAGGAACTTGATGGTGGCGGTGGCAGAGGCGGGGGCTTTGAGGTGAAGCTTGGTGGCGTCAAGTGAAGGTCCGACCATACTTGAGTAATAAGAGATATGGGGTCCAGTCGATCTAGTGAGAGAAGGAGGGAGAGAGAGCTACCTGGCTTTGAGAAGCGAAGAGGTTGAAGGAAGATGCTAAGCTAGTTGCCTTAGAGCTGCCTCTTCAAGCCTAACTATAGAACTCTTCTTCCCGTATTTATAGAAATGGTTCCTTGCTCAGGGAGGGTGAAACTTGAGTGTGGGGCTCAGCTTACGTCACTTAAGATTCCTTGAGAGCCCACAATCGTGGATAAAGAGTAAAGTTAAATAACTTCAAACCATGGACTTTTTTGACTCCTTGTCGTCGGTCTACAACAGGCTTGTTAAAAGGGCGTTTGGGATGGAGGTTAAAAATTTTCTTTTTATTTTTATTTTTTAAAAATAATTTTGTTTTATTTTATGTGTTAAAATTAAAAATATTTTTTTAAAAAAAAATACACTTCAAACGTAACGTTTAACACATTTTCAGAATCCAAATAGATTATTATTAAGTTAAGCTCTAAAAAAAACTTATTTCTATTGTATCGAAAATATAATATAAAAATAGGTTTTGAAGTATACAGTTTTAGATATTTTTTACTTCCAACTTAATTTTAGATTGTATATTATGTTTTCTGTTTATAATTTTGATTTTTTTTTCCCTTGTAGATGTTGGATTCTAAACTATTCAAAGAAATGTAAAACTTCTTAAGAAAATATATCAAATTTGATATAATTATTCACAGATAAATACAAATCAAAATTAAAGTTTTCTTGGTATTAGCTTTATATTTTTTCTTATTGTTTTTTTCCCTGTTCGCATCATTAATAGCAATGCTTCCAAGTATTAGGCAAGCGCGTGCTTAGTGGTTTTCGGAGAAGAAAAAAAAACTCAGATAATTATTATAACCCACAAGCTTTTTGTTATGAAAAAAAAGAAGAAGAAGACGAAGACGAAGAAGAGGAAGAAGAAGAGCTCGCAGCTTCTGCAAAGCACCATGTGCTTTCCTCCTCTGTCCTTTCTTCTATCGAGGCCGGACTCTTTTATTTTAATAAATAAAGAAACTCGTTACATTTAGTTTAGAAATTCGATGATTTTTTTATATAAAAATATTAAAAAATATATTTGTATAAAACCATTTACACACTACTAAAATACACAATTATTATTATCTACGGTTTATATAATGAGCTCTTCCTACCGCTATGACGTTATTCTCACATAAATAGATAATTGCATGTACGAGTGCAATAATTTATGTGTGTCTATATATATTTAATTTATTTTTTTAATTTTATATGCCTATTTTTTATAGGACCAAATGACTATATCTAGTAAATGAGTGTTATTTCTTTTATTATGAAATATATTATTATTTTTCTTACAACAAGTTAACTCTCGTTGAATATTGCAATTAGAAATAAAATAAAAATATTTTTCTTGTCACAAAATAGTTATATATTTAAAAACCATCACAAGAATTTTAAAACTTAAAAAGTTCTTAAAATAATTTTATGAGAATATATAATAATTAAAAATATATTTTAAATAATTGTAGTAATTTTTTATTAAATAAAAATAATTTTTTACTTCAAAATAAAATTAATGTTTAGTGAAATAATGTAAAAATAGAATTTTCATAAAAATTCTATTTTATTTTTGCATATTTATTTTATTATTAATTGATATATTATTCATTTCCTAAAATAATTATTTTGACTGTAAATTGATAAAAGTCAAAAGTCACATCATTTATAAATGTATTGGAAAAAATATATTTTTAATATTAACAAATCATAACAATATAAAAACACTCAAATAAAATTTGAAATAAAGAAAAAGAATTCTACAAAAAGTGCTTTTCACAAATTAAGAAGCATGTAGAGTAAATTATAATCCCTTATATTTTACAAAATAATCAATTGGTTTTATAGTCTCGAAATTAATTAATTAATCATTCAACCAATATCAACCATGCTTAGTTTATTTATTTTTTAAAAAAAATATCTTAATCTTTTCATATTATATATTTCTTAAAAAGGATAAATTGAAAGGGATCATGAAATAGGTGGACATAATTAAGCTAAAAATAGATTAGTGACTAATTAATTATTTTTAAAATTAAAAGAATTGTTTGATACGTTTTACAAGACTTTAGAGACTCGAGAAAGTGCATTGTCTCAAAATAAATTTTAATACACTATGAAAATATTAAAATTTGTGTCCTAAGAAAATATCGTGTTGATGTTTTTGATGTGTTGTTAATTTGTTATATAACAAAATCAAAAGTAAACCCATGAAGTATCAAATAAATTTAATTTTTAGTATATTTTCCTTCGGTATATAAAAGTAATACTTAATACCATAATTATCCATGAAAAAGAAATTTGGAAATTGGAAGTATCCAATAATCTCTCTTCACGAGATAAATTATGAGATACTTTGGTGCATTGTCCTCCCACTCACGTAAAAGCGAAACTCATTATGATAAGTATCCATGAATTTTATTTTGATACGAATAGGTGAACAATACACTGAAAATTCCTGATGATATCCACTTAAAAATAGAAATTATGAGATTCTTTTAGTGTATTTCTCCTGCATTCATATAGAAACATAATTAATCCACTAAGATTATCACCCACGGATCTTACTTAGCTCATTAGCAGACTGCGAGCCAGATTAATTTTTTTCAATGTAAAAAAAATAAATAGATGCTGTTATCATGTTTTATAGTATAAAAATAAAATAAAATCGTGTAGAAGGTAATTGAATGTGATTGGGTTGATTTAATAAATTAAGAAAAACCTGAATAATAAAAAAATAAAGAAAACAAGAATAAAAATATGTAAAAACAAAAACTAAAATGAAGAGATGTTAATTTGAGACTATGATAAATACATTAAAAAAATAAAATCAAGAAGATCAATTAAAAATAACTCAAATGTTTTAAAATAAAATTAAAAAAATTCAATTAATTTTTTTAAAAAAAACCTAGAAGTATAAGACTGAAAAAAAAAATGTAGACATGAAGGCTAGCTGAAGGAAATGAATATCAACTCGAGATTACCACGAGCAGTGATCCAAGACGGCACCTTCAAGGATATATATAGCTGAAGGAAATGAATATCTAAATCTAACTACCATAACTAACCCCATCTTTTTAAATCTAACTAGCATAGCTGAAAGAGATGATATACACTGATATTAATTTTTTTTATTTTTTTTTAAATTAATATATATTTTATATTTTTAGACTGATATTAAAAATAATTTTTTAAAAATAAAAAATATATTATTTTAATGTATTTTCAAGTAAAAAACACTTTAAAAAACAACCGCAATCACATTTTCACCAAATATTTTATATATTTTTATTATTATATATAATTTTTAATTATAATTTTTAACAAACACTATATAAATTCAACTATCATAATTAACCATATTCTTTTAATTTATTTTTTAAAATTATAATTACAAAAATAATCTAAAATATAAACACAATCATCAACATGCGGCTACAGCTTCCCTGCTGGGGCAACTGTGAAGCTCAGGCCGCCGTTTTCCAAATTGCACCCGGAAAATATTTTCTTTTCTTTAAAAAACAGCTCTCACCAAGAAAAAAAAAGAGAGAGAGTGGGGAATAATTGCAATTATACCTTGCCTTTACTCATGAACCAATACGGGTCACAAGATGGATATTTCAACTAAATCAATAAAAAAACATCATTTTAATTTTCTTTTCAAAAAGCTAAAGCACAATTGTCTTGTAATTCTTTTTTGGGTCAAATTTTGAATCGGCTAGGTTATCTCCATCGAAGTTAAAAAACAATCTATCTTGATTTTTTTTTTTAAATCAACCAATATTTTTTATCAATTATATTTGGATTTGTCAATTCAAATGGATTATATTAAAATAATTTTTATATAATTTAATTTTAAATTTAAATAAGATAAATAGCTAAGTCAAAAAATTTCAATATTAATCAGTTAGGTTGAGTTTAACAATAATATTAATAGCTTTTTTTTTCTTGGATATTCTTTTAAAAAAACTTAACTAAAGTTGTGGCAACATTTTATATATGGATTTATCAATTTAAATTCTTATCATGAAGATAACTTTTATATATTTTAATTTTAAATTTTAAAAAATAAAAAGTTATATAAAAAAGTTCAAAATTAATCAGTTAAAGTTAAATTAAGTTTAATAAAAATTTTAGTAGTTTTTTGTGGCTTAAATATTTATATTTTTAAAAAAAGTAACTTGAGCCGTGGCGTACCACAACATTATAAACCAGCACTATCTACATGCATTATTAATTACAATCACTAATCACATTTAAGATCTGTAATTGGGAACGAGCTGGAACCGTGTGACATAGAATTCCCTTTTGATTTCATCTGAAACACCATTTTCAAGAGGTCGGCTGCTTTTTAAGGATAAATTCTGAAGGATTAGGCTAAGATTTTCCTTTTCTCATAATTTCATGCTTCGTCTTTTTCATTGATTATGTCATGTAATAATCCAAAGAAGGCAGCTGTGTGGACATGCTAACGGGGGTCCTACCTTCTCCCCATAGCTGCATATCCCCAAATTCCTGTGTTTGCGTAATTTTCAAAAGGTGCTGAAGCATATCCACCTTTATCTCCTTATCCTTTTGATGAGGGAATCATGCACCTTGCTTGGTCCCTTCGCGTTACATATGGCACTTTTTTTATTCTAGTATTTTGTAGGTCCCAAATATGGAGAAGGAACAAGGAAAATCCCTTACCTTCACGGCTTCACAGAATCAATGTCCAGAAACAGGTTTCACTTCTGGGGTGTTCTCGCATCATTCTTTGTGTGGTGGGTGTTCGCATTAACATGGAAGATATTAGCAATATCGCATAGTACAGTTAACTAGATAGGTGTTCTCTGCTTCATTGTGGATTGGGTTAAATTTTGTATGCAGCAAAAAAACGATGTTGAAGTGCTATTAGTATATTGTATTTAAAAAAAATTCACAACTCCACACTATAAAAAAAAAAAAAAAAAACACCATAAAAAGCCCCCAAGAACCCAAACATACGAGAGAGAGAAAATCATTTTACAATTTTTTTTTAGAAATTACTAACAAATCTCAGCATGGTTGTCAAAACTCATAAGAAAAATAATGCAAA